TTCGAGTCCAGGTATGTGTAAGTAGTCATCTGACAGCAACTGTAAATACATGCATATGCACATGTACGTACACAATAAACAACGCATTTTCCTACTACGTAAGAGAACACTGCCACGGCAGCTTAATTTGTATCCATGATTGACCAGTAAAACGAATAATCCCGTGGCGTGTATATCCATATAATATTAACAACGATCATGTAGTGTTTTGTCCGATGTAACTGCACTTTGATTGACAAAAGTAACACTGGTGATAAAATACGAGCCGCAACATGTGTCAAACGAAAAAACGCGAAAACGTGTAGTAGTATATATTTTTGCATCTCGTATTTTTGTACACACACGCGCACACACACACACACACGCACACGCACACGCACACGCACACGCACACACACACACGCACGCACGCTCACACGCACACGCACACACACACACACACACACACACACATTCAGGAGCCAAGCAGTGTTGCTAACCATGACTGATCTGAGCCTAATCCAACGTCCACCTCGAGTTTCTATTCGATATTTCAACATTTCAGCTTTCATTTTAGCGTCAGTAAAACTACAGAGCATGTAAAAAAAACAAGGCCTGTTGCCTTTCATAAGCTGAAGAAGGGGTGCATCTCTATCACCAGCGATAACAGCTACGCAATACCAGACGAATGAGTAGTATTAGGTGAAGTATTTAACATTGATGGAAATAATTTCTTAAAAAACACGAATAACGTAATAAATAGCTAGAACCTTACGTTACTATTAGGTCTGCGGCAACGAACAGTAACACTTGTTTGAGCCCCAGAGCATAAATCTCAACAGTTCCACTCTCCTGTCGATTCCTGAAGCGATAAGATTGGTGGCAAATGTATCACTAGATGGGAATATAGTACCAGTTCGGCTACTGGCTATTATTTCACTAGTTAAAGGAGAACTGCTTCCTAAAATTAATTAGTGACAAGAATTCTAAAGTTGGTACGGGAAGGTGGGAGATCTTCATCACATATATTAGACATCTCTGATATAACTGCCTTATGAAGTCCCCACAGTTTTAGTCTTTCCACTTCCCTTCCTCCGTGGCATCTTCTTGCAACCGAAGTTGACTACTGAGGTAAGGGTCAAGATGACAGGTAAGCAGGCAGGTAAGTATCTGGGAAGGAATTCCCTCGTTACAGAATCTCAGAGTACGCTGAAGAGTATCGAAAACTCTCGCGAGATGAAAAATCTGCTCTTCCGATAATTATATCAACGAGCAACCAATATTTTTCTTCGAGCGGGGGTGGGGGTGGGTGGGTGGAGGGGATACAAATGCTACGAAACCTCTGCACAGTGACCAAGACCGAAATAGAAACACGACCCGATTTCAGACCAGTGTGCGGGCGTACCAGCAAACAACACATACGGAACTTGTTAAGCAATGTCAGATTCGTGCCACTACGAACGGCTAACGCGGTAAAACTCTGCAGAACACGTGCAGTGGTGTATGTGTACCAGGGTGGCCACGAACAAGCTGTATGGGATCTAGGCTGTGAAAGCCACACAGCACAGAGCTGCAGGTCAGCATGGAAATTTACTGCAAAACACTGTAAATGAATAGCGCTCGACACAATCGGACCTTTTGAACGCAGCAAACCTCGAAACAGAGTTCCCTTGACAGCAGCAGCAGTGCATCAACGAATGTGTTTAACACGTGTTAATGTACGACGGGTAAGGTGGTCAACTCAACTCACTATCAAGCAGGCACCTATTCTAATGAGGTCACAGGACACAAGGACAGTAGCAAGTGTTTTCATGAAGTTTGTAAGCAGATGCAAGAAGAGATCTTAACCCGCGAAGCCCATCAACTCCACCTGGTGTCTCATATCGGAACTCGCATACGTATACACACCACATTGACCCCAGCGTGTAATGAGAAAGCCATACGACCAGTACACCTTCCTTTAAGCGAACAGTTTTTCAGTTACTTTGTCGGCGGTTGTATACTAAAGCGAGCGTGTACCTGTGACGGGGAAGGATCATGAGCAAGGCCACTGTTGAAATTCTGTGCAGAATTACAGCCAATCCAAGCATCTATCCCGCTAATGTACAAACTAAGCCATTCGTACCTTGAACCATAGAAGCAAGACCGATAACTACTAAGGCACAACCACAGAAAAGACGTTTAGGTTCTAATATACAAGTGTCAATGCTCTAGGACTATTTTTAAGACAGGTAATTGTGAATTAATTTTGTCTTCCCTGATAAATGTTCCTCAGGAAGTTCTATAAATGAAGACATTGTTTAAATAGAAATAAACCTAGACCTGACCACACTGAAAATTACGAACGTATACTTTAATGCTTGTAATCAATTTTATAGCCTGTTAGATTAATACCTTGATATTTACAAATCATATAGTAATTTCCAACAATACTTTTGAATAACCAGACTTGTTTGCATGATCAGATGCTATATGGCTTAGCCTGTACACGAGTGAGAGCAATACTGAATGTAGAAACAACCTCACACCAGCACGTAAAACACGAAAACTTTGAACCTGATCGAGGGTTTAGAGTAGATGATCCTTATATAAATCATAGTTTGAATAGAAGGCCGAGAGACAAACACTCAATATGTTCGTCTTCGAATGTGATAATTCGCCCCGAAACTTGTCTGCAAATTAATGAACTCTGTGGCCATATCCTACACATACACACACGCACGCACGCGCGCGCATGCACGCACGCACACAGACAACTTACCAGTCGTTTAAACATCAGGTGCAAAGATCGAATGGTCGTCACTGGTTACCTAGGAAACCAACTACAGACAATGCTCGTTATAGCACACACCACTAGAAAAGTGTCGCTAATCCGTAAACAACAGAACAGCCACTTTGCTTCCAGTCCAGGCTTGGGACACTACTGTAAACTGAAGGCGCCATCGAACTAAAAAGCGATCAACTGCGATTCCGTAAACGATACAACAGTCACTCTGCTTCCGGGGGGGCCAGGGTTCTCACCGCACTATGTAAAACCGAGGGTAACCCGCTAGTAATGCCCAACACTGCTGCCGCCCTGCTCCACTAACAGACACAAAGCCAGCAGTCATGGCAGCTAGCGAGCGGGTGTGCAAACTACCGTTCACGATAGACAGAGTCATGATGACCGCCGGCACGACAGACAATGAAGCGCTAGTAGCTGCAACCACTGAACAAACACAACCAATACCTCACAGAACCATACTTCGGGAACGGATAAATTACTTGAAAAAACGCGTAACCCAAGAACTACATACAGCATCATCATATAATAGGTAGAAATCCTTAACAGTGAAACTGTGCCACCGAGGCACGAAGGAATGGCGCATATCTCCCTGAGCTGAACCGTGCCTCAGCAAATTGTTCTAACAGTTGAAATAGTGAGGTAGTGTCTGGTCTCCACACTTCTATATACGGAGTACCGTGCCACAATTATAATTCACATGCGATACGGCGTCACACAAACACGCGCGCGCGCATGCGCACGCACGCACACAAACACACACACGCACACACCGAAATGGAAACCACTACTCTCTCTCTCTCTCTCTCTCTCTCGGCACCCACGTGTCGTCGTCGTAGTCGTCACCGTCGTCACGGCTGGCAGCCAAGACACACACACGCGAGGATGATGTGGTCGTGTCCGTCCCCCCACAGACACTTTGATTCGTTTCGCGCGCGCGCGCAGCCACGGTCGCCGCGGCGACGGGTTGTTGTAGGAAACCAATTTTCTGAGGTAGATAACAGAGTCGTGGGAGCGAGCGAATCCCACGGCAGGTTGCCATGGTAACAGTGACTCGCAACGCTCGTCGTCCGTCGCGGTGCTTGTTGCCGTGGCACCCACAACTCTGCCGTAAGTCACCACACAATGTCTGTTGCAGCGGATGAGCTTTTCGAGCTTGAGGTCACAGAGATTCCAACGTGGCGCATCCGGCGAAGAGAGAGAGAGAGAACGACGTAGCGTCCAGGTCTGGTGGCGTGTTCGACAACGGCTACACACTCTTGCGCGTTGGTAACGGCTAAGTATACCGACTAAAATCCTACGATAACACAGATGTACAGCATGCATCCCCAAACTAGCTGTCACACACTGTCCTCCTCCTGTGTTGGCTTCTCTGCAACCCGGTGCACAGCACACATGCAGCACATACACGCACGCACACACACATACACCAGTCACCGAGTAGAATTCACTTGACGTGCGCGGGCAGGCGAGGGGGAGGGGGAGGGGGAGATGTACTGTAGGGCCTGCCCGCAACCAATCATGCCGTGCCATGCAGTCTGAGCACACAGATCCATCCAGCACATGGTCTCGAGACACCGTCAGTAGATTATTGTATAGACCCTATGCTTTCACAAACTAGGCAGATTATCACCTGGAATTCTAGTTTCTCAAAGCCAACTCCTCAGAGTTATAAAATAAAATATTTCTGATAAAAATACCCGCATATCCGAAACAACATATTATCAGAGGGGGCTCTGCGTGTGTTTCATCGCATCCCCTCAACACAACACTCAATGCTACGTGGAAAGGCCGTGCGCATACACTCATACAATCCAACAAACCTGCCACCAGCATGTTTTACATTGAAAGGCATATACAACTCGGTGAGATTCTGTCGTGAATCCGTAGGTGACTGACTGTGTACTCATTAATAAAGAAGACCCAATATAATACAAAATCCTACAAAGTAGAAAAACCCGTATACACATTCAATGAGGTATTCAGCTAAGGTTTTCACATACACTGCTGTCGTGAAATGAAGAAAATAAAATAAAAACTACAGGCATATGTTCGCACACATGTTATGTATCAAAGTGATGATGACCCACAGATTACCATAGGCCAGCTATAGGTGTACTGCACTCACTAAACAGCTCGTCTATATACACGGATGCTTGGACTTGGGGGGGGGATTAATTAACGAGGTTTGGTGGCAGGTTGTTGCTATGTGACGACGCCCACGCAGCATCGGCAGCAGTTACACAGTTGACCCACAGGGGGCGTCGCTACTCGCGTCACGCGATGATGTAGGTGGCGCCACGGGCGACTCGCCGCGGCGGTGGCCTGGTCGCCGCAACGTCGGCGACGACGACAGGCTGTCGGCGGCGGCGGCGTTTCCCTCCATGTAATATTCCGAACTACCCGTAAGATCGGAGGGCTCCACCGTCGTCATGGTAGTAGTGTTGGCAGCGCCCCCGCTGTGTCGACTGCCTTGACTGCCTCGCTGTTCTTCAATGCTAAGATCGATGTCGTAGAGAGAGCTGTGTTTCGGACCTGCAGTTATTATCAGTGACTCTGGCGGCTGTAAAAATAAACAAAAAATAACTCGTTAACATTAACGACCTGCAGTTATCAGTGACTCTGGCTGCTGGAAATAAAATAAACAAAAAATAACTCGTTAACATTAACGACCTGCAGTTATCAGTGACTCTGGCTGCTGGAAATAAAATAAACAAAAATAACTCGGTAACATCAAAGACACTGCACTTCAATATCTTGAATTATTCATTGAGAAGAACGTATCTCTCGTATGTCTCAAAGTGGTTTTACATGCATTGTTATATGATCAAGGCAGACAATTTTTTTTAAATTCGCGGATTGTGACAGCCAAACCATATGTTACTACGGCTAATTAACAAACAAGATATGACACCTACACGTAGCTTCAGGTTTACAACAATTGCAGTGTAGTCAGGGGTGTTAGGGCTAAAAAAGGGCCGTTTGGTTCACATTCTTCCAAAAGCACCAAATTTGGCCTAGATGTTGCCCATACCATACTTTTTCGATTTCTGGAGGGCGCCGGAATGGGCGCCCCCCAGGGCCGCCATATTGGCAAATTCCAATATGGCCACCACCCGGGTTGGGGGTCAATCTAGTTAAACATCCAAAAGAACTATAATCATAAATAATACCACTTTTTAGGGGTTTTCAAGGTCTGGGATTCTGATTCAAGGTCAAGGTCACCCCTCAAGGTCACCCAAAGGTCATTTTGGGGTCAAATATGTCATTTTTTAGTGTTTTTTGTCAATATATACAAACAGCCACCTCATTTATCAGTTTCCGGGGTGAGTAAACCAGAATCTGACCTTATTTGAACGATTTGAGGCATATTGCATGTCCAGGGTCATGATAGAGCGTCACCCGACCGAGAGGTGAATCGTACGTCAATTATATGGTAAAAAACCAAAGAGGCGTAGAATCAGACATACATACCACTTTTTAGGGATTTGTGGCCTCTGAGAATCCGATTCTGAATCTTATTTATAGGTTCGAAGTCAAGGTCACCCCTCAAGTCACCCTAAAGTCATTTTGGGTCAAACCCAGTGTTTCTGGTGCTGTCACCCCACATCAAAAAAGTTTGAGATTTTCTCCACAGAAACACTTTTGCCAAGACACACTGCAGCGACAACGACCGACCGTAACGACAAACGACTTTTCAGAAAATTAGAAACTATTGTTTCCTATGTATAATGAGCCATTGCACACTGACGCAGGGCTCGACTTTAACGGTGGCCCGGGTGCCAATGGCCACCTGAAACGGCGTCGGGCCACCTGAAACGGCGTCGGGCCACCTGAAACTGTCGGGTAGGTGGCCCGCCTGGCCACCAATAAAAATAAGGCCGTGCATGCCTACGCGACCGGTTCCGGACGAGGAGCCGCTAGGCTACGCGTCCGGACATCCATCTCACACAGAGATCTTGCGACACGTACACGCATGATTGCGCAAGGGGACGCTCTGCTGATTGCCGAGTGTGTGTGTACGTGTGTGTGTGTGTGTGTGTGTGTGTGTGTGTGTGTGTGACGTGCGTGTGCATGTGCGCGTGTGTACGTGTGTGTGTGTGTGCGTGTGCGTGTGCCCGTGCGCGTGCGCGTGTGTGTGTGTACGTGTGGTTTACTGGAAGCAGATTCTGAGAATGTGAATCGCAACAAGAAACAATGCTTTACTTTGCCTAAATCCAGATTCTGAGAATGTGAATCGCAACAAGAAACAATGCTTTACTTTGCCTAAATCCAGATTCTGAGAATGTGAATTGCAACAAGAAACAATGCTTTACTTTGCCTAAATCCAGATTCTGAGAATGTGAATCGCAACAAGAAACAATGCTTTACTTGTTATCCCTGACTGCGGACGGATAGTTGAGGAGTTCGAGGCCATCCACGACCCACCATCATCATCCACTGCTCATCATGAGGAAGGACACAGCTTGCAAGTCAAGTTTCGAAAGGATGTACTATCGTTCATCGAGGTGGTCGAGCAGCTAGGCAACCCTTTCCTCACTACAAGTCAGGAGCAATTGTAGCACTCGATACACAGAATGTCATGGAACATGCCGTTGCTAATTCTCTATCTCAAATCCATGAAGCTGGCCAAGCCCTTCATGCAGCATACGTCATTGAAAGGCTGGAAAAAGCTTCAGTACCGGTATCTGATACCATCAAGCGGAACAACATGCTAACATTCGCCAACCGACCTGACCCCAAGAAAAAAGGCAAGAAGGACACTGGCATACAGAGGCAGAATATGACCTTAATCACGCAACTTTTCCTCTCACTTCAGTCGTGTCCCGATGCAGACATGACAGACTTCTTTCGGTTCGAAAATCAGAGAGAGCCACCAAGCCTGGCGGATCGAGGGTCGCTGCGATCTGGGACGAAGTCGGACATTCTTCAATGCCTCAATGCACCCACTGGCCGCACAGCTGCTGCCAAACAAGCCACGTTGGTGGTGTTGGATATGGCAGCAGTGATCCACATGGTGCGCCCCACAACAGCAAAAACATTCAGAGAGTATGTGCCGCTTCACATTGTACCATTTCTGGAGGCCCAAATGAAGAGTGGTACCCAACGCATCGACGCTGTATGGGATAATTACCCCGAGGAAAATAACCTCAAAGCTCTCACGCAGCTACGACGTGGGAAGGGCCCACGGACAAGAGTCGGCGATGGCAGCACTCAAATCCCGAAGCATGAATGGAACAGTGGCTTCCTAAAAAATGAGGAGAACAAGAAGCTCTTCTCATTCATCAGCACACAGATCTCCAAGAACGACATGGGTGGAAAGCTCCTCCTGAGTACCCGTTTCGAGACCGTGCTCTCCACAAGCATCGTGACCTCACAACACTTCGTCCATGCAACCATTCCGAGGCAGACACAAGGATCTCACTGCATCTGGCACATGCCGCAG